CCGTGCTCGGGCTGCCTGCAGCTGTTTAGCATCATTGTTAAATTATGTTTTGACTTCTGTTGCTCGACCATTTTGTGATATAGTGGTGTGATTTAACGTTGTTTCGATCATCAATGGCGCTGTAAAAAGTAAATTTTTTTTCAAGGACCAAGGTGAGGGGTGGGTTCATTTTGCAAGTGGGTTCATTGTGCGAGTGAATACAATATCAGGAAAAATACTTCTTGTCAATAAAAAATAATGAATACTGAGAACGAAGGAGACAGGAAAGCAGCTAGACTACTAAGAGTTTATTAACGTACGCAAGGCTCAAGTGTATGGACTCATGCAGTCAGATAGTCATGCTACAAGCTCTTAACGAAAACACGAAAATTGCAATATACAACGAACTGACCGTAGGGTCGTATCACTACGACCCTACAGCCCCAGCGGAGGTGCACACGGACGCCAGCGGTGTAGGCCTCGGCGCTGTCCTGGCGCCCGTTGCGGTAGAGCACGCGGATGTCGTAGTCTTGTAAGCGAAGAGCCCAACGAGCGAGACGGCCTGAGGGATCCTTCAATGATGAAAGCCAGCATAGTGCATGATGGTCGGTGACGACATCGAATGGGCGACCATACAGTACAATCACTGTATACATTTTTTCCAATATTAATCACTCAAGATTACTGAAAAGATTGCAGGAAATCTGTTTCCTTCTTGCACAACGCCACAGAGCTATCTCTACAACATGCCTCGCCATTCTTTGCAATGTGAAAAGATTCAAGTATTTCACATGTCATTTTTTCATTGCTTCTGCCCAAAATCCTCATTATGTTTAACAATGGCTTACATTTGTACAGTTTACAATGAAGTTAGCTTGTATTGGCGCAGACATACGAAAAAAGGAAAAGGGAAGGACCACACAGACGTCAAGAAAGGCAGGCGCTAAACTTTCAACTGTTTATTTCAAACCCTTCACATTCATCTTATACATGCATAAAAACACAACTCATCTTGCACCTGGTCTCATTCCAAGACAGGATAATTCTTTATCTATCAGTGCAATTGATGGCGTAATCACACACGTCTCCCATATCTGCTATGGCTTCAGCTTCTTTAATTTCAGGTGTCAGCTGATTCCGAGACTGGCCAATAACAATGCAGCTTTACAGATTAGGGCAGCACCCACAACCCTTGCAATGTGCTGCTAGGAACCCTCTTGCTGAAAGCCTATTTCTTGCGTTTTAGTCGTGTTTTTGTAGTCTATCATTATGACACTGCTTGGTCTGCCCTATATAGTACTTGCCGCATGATAATAAAAACTTGTAGACAACGCAGCACACACAATCTACATATCTGACCCAGTGTCTCTTATCACAGGCTAAATGAGTGACATCAATAGGGCAAGTCAACTTGCAAAGCTCCCCTAGTTTTTTTGGGGCCGTAAACACTACGCATACGCTAGCCCGCTGGGCCACTTTCTTCAAGTGATGGGAAATAGTGCTTATACAGGTTCACACCTACTCTGCTGCTCAAACGCTCATCATGTTTACAATGAGTGTTTGGGCGATGAGCGCTTTATGCCTGTCTGTGTGAATCTTTGAGGATGCGTTCAGCAACAGAAACCTGTAACAGAACTGGGTACCTTGCTTCGGTGGGACGCTTGCTTTGAGTCTCGAAACTGGAGGCCATTTTGTGATGTCATGATTTCGTCAGGGCATTTCTAAAGCACAAACTTACGATGCCTCTCCTAATGAGCTTTGAGTGCGCAGATACATAAGAAAGGAGAGGCTTATTTGCCAGTGGCTCATACGACCAGCATGTGTGTCATACGACCAGCATATGAGCCACAAGCTGCGAATGATGTGCGACTACACGCCTTTCAATAAGATCAACATTGACCACACAATGATATGCATGGACTGCCTGTCATGCCGAACAAACATCATTGAGAAAAGTTCTGTCTGGATCGCTAATACTGAATGTGCAAGGTGAGGATTCACAGTCATACTTGCTGCCTGCGCATTGGGCCACAAACTTCCGGCCTTCATTATGTTGAAGGACTTGAGTGGCAGGATTCTAACGAAGGCTTTCACAAAAATTCATGTACCAGAGTCGAGGTGTGTTTCTACTTTTTTCCTTGTTAGTGTGGGTTAGCAAGATCACGCTATATAATTTTCTTTTCTTATTGTGAACGCCCATGTGGCAGCATCGAAGAACGGGTGGATGACTTCCGAAAAATTCTAAGAATCGCTGTCACGGGCATGGGGCCCTAACACTGACGACATTAGGCGGTTGTCGGTATTAGACCAAGCTCCTATTCACAAAACGCTGGCAGCAAAGAATGCTGTGGAGAAGCGAGATGCAGACATATCATACTCGCCAGCTGGCTGCACAAGTATATTGCAGCTAGTTGACGTGTAGTAGAAGTGGTCTTTCAAAGCCAGCCTTTGCAGGAGCTGGGAGGAATTCATGTGCATACCAGAAAGAACTTGAAAATGAAATCTGCGAGAACTGTCACATCAGAACGTACTAAATTTCGTGGCCACAGTGTGGGATGCTGTACCAGAGGAGACCGTTATTCACAGTTCAAAAGGGCTTCGATTTCAACATTCTGGATGTGTTGGAGGACGGCCTTAAACATGGCCGCCTGTCCGACGTTGGTGTCATGAATTTATCTCGACAGCGCTTGTGAACCAAGCAATTGAAAGAGAGATACTAGAGACGAGCATGGCAAGACAAACACACTTTATACGCAGAACGGATTAAACCAATACAAGGAATTCACATTAAATCACTCAGTAACTCAATAACACTCAATAAATATCAATAACTCAATAACAACCTGTGTACATGAGCAAACTCGAACTGATTGTAGCTCAGTCTAAATCTGTTGCTAGCCGCTAGCCTTAAGCCAATATAGCGTCAACAATAGAATGTTTTTACAGTTCGCCGCATTGCGACTCATTGTCTCTTGCTGTGTCAACGTTTAGTAGAGTCCTTGGTGGTTGATGGGCTGCTCCACTTATTACGGTTGCCGTTGGCTAATCCCGCTGAAAGAATCTCTCGTCCTCATCGCCGGTGTTCCGGTCTTCATCAGTTTTCGCTGGGCTAGGCTTAGCTCGTCATTGACTCCCCTGCTGATGTGTCCACTCTGCTGACTGGTGTGGGCTACTACCGTCCGGGCCCGAAGTGGGATAGCTGCAAGTCCTCCAGGAACTGCTGGGCAAGGATGCAGCAAGTCCGGGCAGCCTCACTCGGGACCCCCCGACGTCGGCGGCCACTTCCCGAGCTCTTCGTGCCGACATCCTTCAGAACTAGGTGGCTATGCTTCTCCGGTCGCTGTAGCAATGCTGGTTTCCCTCGTCTTCATAGCTTGGAGCCTCAACACACTGTGCCAGCTCATCCTTTGGGATTTTTGGTCACTACTCAGGTTGCATGCCACGAGCCTTCTTCGACCAATCTCCTGCATCGACGTGGCTGGTGCGCCTGCCCTCTGGTGACTTTTTCCTACTTGTTCACTGTCTCCTTGCTTCCCCATTCGGCACGTGCCTCGGACCTCTCCTTTACTCATCGCAGTTGGCGACATTTGTTCAGAACATCCTGAGAAACTGCAGGCTGAATGCTACAGCCTGTTGTTTGACACAGAGGTGGAGTTTTGTTTCGCGTTGCATAAGTTGTTGCCCGACTTCAGACTTGTGGGGCCAGTGTTTCAAGATAGCCGCTGAATATGGTGGCTATGTTTTCTTGTACACTTTAAGCTTCCCTGTAAGGTTTTCCCATTGGCTCTCGCTGCTTTTCAAGTATACGGGGTGTGCCCATGTCACTAGAGCGCCAGTAACTTATGTGCCGCTTCGGGGTTCTCGGTATTTTTCCTGCGTCCAGGCTGTGCTCGTGTCGCTAGGGCCCCAGCAACATACGTGCCATTTTGGGGTTGTCGGTATTTCGCCAGCGTTCGCGATGAGCACGAGTCGCCTGGGTAACAGCACAGCTACGAACAGCTACGCACAGCAACGGAGGTATTCATACTTCAGCGATAACGATGTATGCTGCCCATGCTGTGTGCGAGTTCTGCGACGCTGTTCAATTATCTCGGTAAATCTGTCACTGCGCGTGGGTTCGCTACTTCGAGTCTGAACTCGCAAATTCCCTGCTATCGAGGCACGATCAATCCGGTCTGTTAATATTGGAATGGGTTGTCAGTGAAAAAAGGGGACTCACGCTTGTGCGAAATACACAGGCCGCGCTAAATAAAACAACTGTGTCAACAGACCACACAGACAAACCGGATTACACAGGAACCATATGGGAAAGCTGGAACTGCAGGAGCAAATACTCTTAATTGTGGCAACCGACTTATGGAATGCCAAACAGAGCCTTGCATACACGAACTCCAATGGCCCTTTCATGGATTTGAGAGTGAATCAAGCAATGATAGATAATTTCCCAATAAAGCTTTTGTTCACTATGTACATTGCTGTGAAAGGTCTTTATCAATTTTCAGAAAAAAAAATTACCACCTACTGTCTTGAATTTTGAAGCACTTCTGAGCAAGTGCCCCCTCTCCTGCACTGTGGCCATTATCACCATCTCCAGGGGGGCACTTGCTCGAAATTTCACAGTATTGGAGTAAAAAAAAGAACTTTTTTTTTTCTCAAATGAGAGCTAATAAAATAAAGCAATACCCTTATTTCTTATACATATATAATATTGTAGACACATAAGTATGATAATATTAATTAGTTTCATTAATATAGCCACCTTCCAGACTTTGTCTTCCTCTTGCATTAGAAGATGACCGAAACTGAAACTGGATCATCACAATGCTTGTGTAACAAAAAGACTGGCAAGGATACTAAAAGAACACGAAGGCAGAAGTAAAACCACTTGTTTAAATATGAGTTGTTCTCGCTCTCAGTGGAGATGGCAACCTAGGCATTGCGGCCAGTTGGTGATAGATGTGTTCTAATTGCGGTCACTACAGCAGCTCGAATATAAAGCTGTCTTTGGGCCATCCTTGCAGGAAGCTGTGGGCATCGCTGCCAGAGAGGCGGCAAGTGGTGGCAACCAGCGCCACCTACCCACCAGAGGTGGCACACATTCTGGAAAAGGAGCTGCTTCGCAAGCCCATGCTTGTTCGTCTAGGAGCTGACACACTTGCCCTGCTAGGTGAATATAATATGTATACTCTTTTGTGTTCTGCTCACAAACATGGCTACCAGCAAAGAGGAGATGGTTGCTGACACTGGTCCTTTGTCTGCTTGGTTGCTGACCTGCCTGTTTCTGTGGTCTTATTTTCTGCTTGGTTTGAATTGTGCTGTGATCCCACTCCTGTGCCAACTGTGCCAAAGTGCGCAAAATCAGATTTGCTGCGCCATTCTGATAATATCAGCCAAATTGTGCCAAACTTCTCCAAAGTCGGATTTCGGAGCGTCTGTCACCAGCAACAGCCATGCCGGTGGGTAAAACTATCTTCACCTTGTTTTTGGTGCCACAGAAGTCACAAACACATATCTAGAATTATTTGACTGAATAAATAGCGATCGTGTGCGCGTCCTAAGTAATCCACGAAGCTATGTTGGTGCTTACACATTTTCTGCAGGGGCTCGTCGAGTCTAGTCCGATTGACTGTGTGAAACTATGGCGTCAATTCATTGGTGGGCATCATCCATATTCCAGGAACACTATTGATAGCTTTTTCAAAAGTAGCACTGCATGTAAACAAAGAGATTTACCCTAATAACTGCTCGCACGCCGCCAGAATGTCTTTGACGTCTACTTTTGGACATCGCAATATAATTTTCTATGCTTCACATCCACAGAAAAACACTTGAACGGTGAGAACGCATAAACACTTCTTTAAGATACTTTATTCATGTATCTTCATTCAGAAGTGCCTTTTCATCATTCATCATTCCTTCCACCAGCACATCCGCGTCTGTAATTGCTGTTGTGGTACAAGTTCCAAAGGGCAGGTTATTTTAGGGGCTGTTGTGGTACAAGCTCCTAAAATACCCTGCCCTTTGGAACTTGAAATTGCTAGGGTACAAATTCAAAATTTTAGCCTGCATTTTTTAAAATGTGGTCTCAATAATAGAACCATTCCTCCTGGTCGGAGCAGCTGCGGTTCAGTTTTAATTCGTACAGCTACCAGTAGTGAGGCCATAGCTTGCGGCTCTAGCTTCGGAAGGTTCACTGTAAAGTGACCATGCCTTGTTACACGTCCGCCTCTCCCTTTTCAGGGTCAATTTGACAGTTAAAGAACAACTGAACATCACAGCATCACATTCTCTGCTTCGTTTCTTTTTTTTTTATTTATTTAGGGGAGGAGGGGAGCATCTCTTGATGGGCACAGTTCCTGGGGCGTGCGCTATCTCAAGGAATAATGAGAGTGCTCGTAAGCTTTCTGTGCTACTAACCTCTGCTTCGCGTTTACATAACTGACAGCACGGACACTGTTTTGGCAATTGGAGTGATCACTGTCCCTTTAGCCAGCATTCTTTTGAGTTATGTAATATCACTTACAAATGATACAATTTGTCAGTTTAACTTAAACTCTACCAACAACTTGTATGTACTGTTATACCAAATAATAAAGCTTGACGTCATCCACGAGGAGCAACCGCGGGGTTGCCATTTCGAAGGTCCGCGCACTCATCGCACTCGCAAAAGCTTACTGCACGTGCCGTGTTCAATATTCGTACAGTGACTTGTATAGCTAAAGATGCCCGAAACACCTCTTGCACGCCGATGCATGGACACATGCACAAACGCCACAAATGAATGGACCTCCAATATGGCGCGAGAATAGTGCGGCTGCCTTGTGGTCAAGGCTCAGTGCATACCCTTACATGGCTGCTCTAGAAAGTGAACCGCTTTACGCACAGTTTGTTCGCGTTCAAAGTACAAGGTAGAAGGGTACACCAGCCATCTTTAATACCTGCCGAAATAGCGTGTGCACCAGCGATCACACCCTCAAAGTCAAAATTCATAACGCCTCTCACCCCCCCCCCCCCCCTCCACGTTCCTAATTTTTTCCTGCTCCTTGAAGAGACAGCAGGCTAGTTCCTTTCTGTTTCAGTAGCACTCAATGGCAAGCTTGGCATGTGGGGTGATATTAGCGCATCCACCCTCTGTGCAAAAGAGATAGGTCGGCACTTTTTATCTCTGCTTTAGCCACGTTCCTCGCGCTCACTTGCGTGCTTTTACCCATGTGTGAAGCACATGATGCGCGGGGAGATGTTATCGATTAGGACATTACATAGAACATGACGGCCAGTGCAGTAGCCAGGGGGGTACATTGGAATTGTGCCCCCCCCACCCAACAAAAATTTTTTTAAAATTCTGCCTATGCCCCTGGTGACAACAAAAACTAGTCTACAATCTTCATATAACTGATAAAAATAAAATGGCTCTTGCTATCGAGTGTCTTAGGCATATACATGAGGTACTCCCTGTGGTTTTTCTTCTTTATGCACTGCTTCCTAGAGGACACTATACGGGGTGTTTGGAGTACAGACAGAATGTGTTAGACATATAAGACATCTCTGCAAAAAGAGAGCGAAGTTAGTTAAATCGTGTGGTTTTAGTACAGAGACATCAGTGCCTGAGGAGGTTGACTTCATTTCACAGCTGAGTGATGTCATGTTAGGCCCAACAGTATATTCAGTTGTGAAGGTAACCTTTCTTTGTCATTGAAGTCATCTTATAGGAAATGCAGTTGGATCAGTGCAAGCCTGTATCGTTGTACGTCGCAGCGTTTTTCTATCATATCCACTGATAACCACACACGTGTATTTAGAATGTCATTTCATGAAGTACAATTTTATTCAACCAGTATTCTGTTCATTTGCTACGAAAATAATCACTGAACAAGTTTTTTCAGAATAATCAACAGCATGATGCCATTATTTTTTCATCATCAACTGAAATAGGGAGTGCTTCTAAGATGATTGGCTCAATGAAATTTGCAATGAATCTAAATATTTCCAGCTCTTTACCAATGCCCTAAAATAATTAATGATGTCTTTCAATGTAAATGCAACTTGCTTCTTTTCCAAGATATGAACTGCTACAAAGTGCTCCACAATGGAAAATTTTGCTGCTCCAAAGTGTTTCAAAATGAAAACTTTGCTTCGCCAAAAAATTTTCCAAATCACAAGACCTTGATAGCAATACTGATTGTGTCAGCAGTGTTTGTTTGCTCCATTATTTAATACTACAGTAAAAGCCCATTTATTCCAACTCAAAAGGGATTATAAACCTGTCCCAATGAGCGGGCAGACGATAGAATGAACAAATAGTGTACCACACTGCAGAACCAAACAAAGCCACCACTGGAGTTAATACTGCAAACAAGGCGATACAAGTTTGTGGCAAGTGATTTCATAAATTAAGTTCATGATAGTCGCTAATACGCCAAAAACATATATTTGTTTACATACATATGTTTGTATGGAAGACATATGTTTGCATGGCAGAGGGAACACAGTCAAAAAGAAATGTACTCAGTAATTTGTGCTTCTCCTGCTGTGAAGCCACGAGCATCGTTTGCAGTTTGCCCATGAGGATCCGAATTCTCAACTGCTGAGAAATGCTGCAGTTTTGTGGTCTTCCATCTTTGGTAAATTTGCTTCGGTTTGGTTTCGCGACGCACCATGATCACCCGCGGCCGACTTCTGCTTGGAGCTACTATAGCCAGGGGGCTTCCAGCTCACAGTAACAATTGTCGATACCGGAGGTTCAAATCATCGGCAGTTCGGCCTTCTTGAAAAACACAGGGCTGCGCTGGGACTAGGGCATTGGTTCGAATTAAGTTTGAATTCACAGAGCTCAAGTTAGTGAACTTTTACTGTAGTAGTTTTTTTTTTCATGAATACTTTTAGCATTAAGGGTGCTATCACAGCATGAAAGCATGAAAGTTTTACAGGTCATAACAGGAGCACAGAGCTTCACATTAACTCTGTGTAAATGAAGTGGTACATTGATTTTATATCCCCTGGTTTTGCAACAACCCACATGTTATGACGAATCTATTTGATTCTTGCATAACCTTCATAGGAATGGTGTATTAAAAATGTAGTTAATATGATGCAATGTTTCACCAACCCTGCACTGTTCGATGGCTCTCTGATACTATCTATGAAAGTAATCATCTCTTTCTTTAAAGTTTAATGCCCATCAAATGTTTGCATGTGCGAAAGAAAAACTGGCGTTCTCATAGGCTGATTATTGTAAATATGCAGTGAGGCAGGCAAAGTATGCCTTTTTAGCATAGAAAATTTATTTCCCTGCCAGTTAATGTTTTTCTGTGATTAAGTTTTTCTGGCTTTACAATCACATCTAGATACACGATACACTTTAGTTGCGGGTGCATTTCAGGGCTGTTGCAGCTAGACAAGTAGATGAGCGCTCAAAAAGGATCGCACAGCTCAAGCACACAAAAAATCAAAATCATTCTTTGCCATTATGTAATGGCAATGACACTATTCTGACGAAAGGTTGTGATCAATGCAGTTTCACTTTCGTTTCTACTCGCAATTAGTCAACTCATTTCATTGGAACTAAGACGTGCGTTACATGCGGTGTTTTTTTTTAACTCGGGATAAGAATTCGTTCACACCTCCTCGGACTAAACGCTTAGCTGTCATGTTTAAAGATAGTGTCTGTGGACAAGTGGAGGGTCATGTCATGGGCTTATTTAGGTATGTCTGTAGGTGTTTTTAGTCCTGCCTAAGCGACGCTGTCTGTGTTCTCTTTATTATACAGTGGTTTTGTGTGGTCTCCTCAGAAACCCCGCTCGCCACAGCGCCCGCAGCTGCCGCCTCGTCTGTTTACCTGCAACAACTGAACTAATCTTCCAGCGCTCACTGTAGCACCTGCGTTAGCGCCGTTCAAACCATGATGCTAACCGTGCACAATACTGCTGCTTTGCATTCCATAGAGTTTTTTTGGGGGGGAAGATGGTGTAGTTTTTTATTTCTGATGTTGCGAGAAGCATGCAGTATGCTGTCTGTGCGTAACTACTGTGTTGCAGTGAAGCCTGTTATTGTCTGCAGGCACACATACACTTATAAGGTTCCAGTTGAACGGTCAATATTGCTACGTGCCAGTGCATGGAGACGAAGAAGAAAAGCATATAGACTGATGCGAGCTAATCTCTGTGACTG